TATATACATGTTCACTTTTCCTGAATGAAACTAGTTCAACATCAGCGCCTGTCCTGTATACCTCTTGTTCTTCTATTTGTTGTGCTATTTTAATGTCCTACATTACTTTTGTGCTCCCGCAAATCGAAGCAAACCAATAAAAAATTCGGTTCGACACTCTGGTGGAAACTAAAAGCTTAGAAAGAAAGAAAAAAAAAAGAAAAAGGAAAACATTTCTAAAATAATGATAAGCAGGAGGAGGAGGAGGAGGAGGAGAACAAGAAGGCTAATAATGTGGAAAAAAAAGACACGACCCAAATAAATCAATACAAAGGATGGTATAAGTCATGCATACTTACCACATGTAAAATTAATTAAAAAAAAAATTAGAAAAAAAAAATGTGTATTTATATATATATATAATTTTTTTTTCTTTTATCCAGAGGCTTTGGCGCACGCACAGCACTGCACTGCACTGCACTGCACTGCACTGCACAACACAACACAACGAGAGACTTTCCACAAACACACCACTGCGTACGAGGACACGACCACGTAGAGCTGCACGAAAACAAGCGCCGTAACTTAATAAAAAAAAATAAAAAAATCCTTTCACTGGACGGACGGCACAAGAACGGAAACTGCTCAAAGAGCACACACACACACGACACATATTAATGAATTAATAAGGGGCACAAGTAGAACCTAGTTGGGCGATACGTAGGACACGGCACCCACACCAGAGGCCTTGCACAAGCACAGCACTGAGCACTGAGCACTGAGCAGCAGGTCACAGGACAGATATGACGTCCACGCTGAGTAGGCCGAAGGCAGGGAATTACGGACGCACGCGAGGTCACCCACAGGCACTTTCACCGGAACCACGCCACAACACCACGCTGCAGAGCGCGCACTGCAAAGCGAAACCATGCGCTCACCTTCGGAAAGCACGGAGGGCGGGCGGCACAGAGAAGCAAAAAGACGTCAAAAGCACATCGCGATGAAGCGGCGGCGAATGAACACTACTCACTGGTGGAAATGGATATCTCCTCAAGCGAAAACATGCAATGACCACGCATGGTTTAAGATGCACGTGGGAGACGCGCACACTTTCAGAAACCAGGTACGCCAACGCACGCGGGCAATAAGACGGACAAAACGCGTCGAAAATACATCGCGTGCAAGCAGCGCCGACTGCATACTACTCACGGTTGCAAAGGTTTCTTACAAGTTTGCACTCCAGAATCTTAACGCGTTGAAAAGCGTCCGAGCTCACCAAGAACTATCACTCCGCAGGAACAACGCAAAACAAAAGCAAAAAAAAATAATAATAAAAAAAAAAAAAAATGTAGGAGACCGCTAGATAGATGAAAACGCCGTCATACTTTGTAAACAGAATTTGGAAAATAAGTAGCGCCGCCAGGTGGTCGGCGCCCAAATAGATGCGGAGGCGCGCCTAAATTGTTTAAATATTTGCTGTTTATATGACGAGACGACGTAATGTAAAATCAAATCAATTAATTTAAACAAAAAGTAAAAACTAAAAAAAAAATTTAAAAAAAATGAATGAATAGTGGCGTCATCTAACGAACCTAAAGCAAGGCTCCGGTTTTCGAGCCGTTAACTGCGCAGCGCCATCTGGTTTGGATGGTAAAAGACACAAAATACGCAAGTGACAATGCTACGCGAGAGTCGGATGGTTGTTTTTAGCGAATCGGGGAAGTACGCTGGCGTTGTGCTTGTTTACGTGAGCGAAGCGAACGCGAGGGGTGGCTGGACTGTCGCGACGAAGTCCCGACGAGTACACGCGTCCCTAATGGTTCAACAAAGAAGAAAACTCGATGAGCGAACACACTTCCGCCATGTGCAAGCAACGTAAAGGCAAGGACACTCGAGAGAGGCACACAGTTTCGTTTTCGTTGGCTCTGCAGCGTCAAAG